CTTCACACTGTAGCGATCCACTGCGAAAACTTCCAGCTTCCAACATCCAAAGCTAGAGTGAAAATGGCGGACTGTCCAGCAGTTAATTGGTTTTCCTTCGCCCGTTCACAGGGGGCGGAGTTTCCAGAGAAAACATGACTAATTTCTAACATTTCAACATGATTAATTCTAAAAGATTGAACATCCTTTAACATTAAATGAATGGCACAAGACTAAAATATGTTTAGATGAGAAACATAAATGAATCATGTAGGAAATACGAAAGGCATTTTTGCAAATTCAACAATCCCCCCATTGCCATTTTTTCAGTGTACAATAAATCTTTGTGCAGCGTATTTATTGAATTTGGTTCCTGTGTGCATCACAACATTTCTAGAACTATCACCTATCACTATAGAATCACTATAACAAATCACCTTTCTTTATGTCCCACTCATAGTTTCTGTGATGCAGAGACCAGCTGTGGTGAATCCAGTCTATGGGTGAATCACAGCTTCAAGCCCATCATCATTAACACAGTGGTGGTCCGATGCAAAGAGTTCCTGCATAGACTGGGCAAAGAGCTGAAACTTAAGTGGCTACTTGGCAAAGAAGTCCAGGTGTCACGGGTCCCACTCGGCTGCTCCTAGTGGGTCTCGAACCCGGGTCTCCGGCACTCAGAAATGAGTGAGCATTTTAGCACTTAGAGTTCCATTGTCCTGTAGTCAACAGGTTCTTCTTTTTTTTTTTCTTTTTTTGTTAAATGCCTGCAGATCTTAAGAAAAACTCGTGTCTCTTAAAAAATATTTTCACATTGTATTTTACAACATAAAATACATCAGTAATACCCTCTTGTTTTTTGTTTTGTTTTTTTTAAAAGCTTTTACTAGAAAAAAGCGCTTGCTAACAAGTAGACTAAATGGCTAAATGGTACCTACTGCAGAGGTTGTTGGGGCCATTAAACATTATCACGCTAAACAGGTAAACTCATCCACGCACTAGTTAACTTTTACAGCCTCATTACACTCTTGCAAACTATTCTGACTCAAACTTTCAGGGAAAATGTTTTTTTTTTTTAAATAAAGACCAAAAGAGTTGTCAGAATCATAAACTTTTTTTGCTCCCATTGCTTATTTTCTGCAATAATCCAAAAGCAAAATCCCATTGTTGAGGGAACCAGCATGAGGCCAACATCAGGGTTGGCCTGCCAAAATGTCATCACTGCAGCGCTATATTGATAGCTGCCCATTTAGCCTACCTGTACAGGTGCATCTCAATAAATTAGAATGTCGTGGAAAAGTTCATTTATTTCAGTAATTCAACTCAAATTGTGAAACTCGTGCATTAAATAAATTCAATGCACACAGACTGAAGTAGTTTAAGGCTTTGGTTCTTTTAATTGTGATGATTTTGGCTCACATTTAACAAAAACCCACCAACTCACTATCTCAACAAATTAGAATACTCCATAAGACCAATAAAAAAAA